ACGCAGCTGCTGTATATACAGGGTGTCCCATTATAAAACATCCAGTCGAATATCTCGAAAACCAAACCCAGGAGAGAAAAATGTTTCAAAAGTTGTTTGGTTTCGAGGAGGCCATAAGATGGTACCATTGGTTTGACCTTGAAGAGTCATTTGAAGATCACGTGAAGATCACCTCAATTTTTTTAAATGGTACCCCCTATTTTTTATTAGATATTTTTGTAGCCGACCTTGAGCGCTTTCCAAAAACACTATAATAAAATATTTTTTCGTTCGAGTATTTTTCGAGTTATGAGGCTTGAATAATTTCTTAATTCTACATAAATCATAAAATATCTAGTGAAATATTCATTTTTCGATTATTTTACCTTAATACTTGTATGCACAAAATAATGTGAAAAATCGATTGGTGTAAAGAAAACACATAGTTATTTTTAAGAAAAAATATATAATTTGCAATTAACAATTACATATTTTTTCTTTGAAACAACTATGTGTTTTTTTTACACCAATTGATTTCTCTCATTATTTTGTACATAAAAGTATTAAGGCAAGATAATCGAAAAATGAATATTTTACTAGATATATTATGGTTTATGTAAAATTAAGAAATGATTTCCAGCCTCATAACTCGAAAAGTACTCTATGAAAAAATATTTTATTATAGCGTTTTGGAAAGCTTTCGAGGTCAGCTACAAGAATATGTAATAAAAAATAGGAGCTGCCATTTGAAAAGATTGAGGTGACCTTCACGTGACGTTCAAATGACTCTTCAAGGTCAAACCAATGGTACCATCTTATGGCCCCCTCGAAACCAAACAACTTTTGTCTGAAACATTTTTCTCTCCTGGGTTTGGTTTTCGAGATATTCGACTGGATGTTTTATAATGGGACACCCTGTATAATGCAGCAAAATGTGATACCAATAATTAGAAAAATTTGTCCAAAATTTAAAAAAATCATTTACGCTACTGATGGTGCTAAACAGCACTTTAAAAAAAGATACCAAATGAGTAATTTAATGAATCACAAGAACGATTTCGACGCAGAAGTCGAATGGCACTTTCATGCTACAGCACATGGTAAAGGACCATGTGACGGTCTTGGAGCTTCTCTGAAAAGGGAGGCGACTCGTTATAACTTACAAGTACATCAGAATAATGCTATATTGAATTCAACTAGGCTCTTCACTTGGGCAAAGGGAAAATTTGAAAATATTAAATTCTTTTATTACTCTAAAGAACATCATCAAAAGACAAAAAAATTTTTGAATAAAAGGTTTTCTACAGCTCCAGCTGTCACTAACATTCAAATGAGCCACGCATTTATACCGACATCAAATAAAGTATTGAAAGTAAAAAGGTATTCTGCTGCGAAGGATATCATTTCTATTGTGCAATATTGAAGCAAAAGATATAAAAACCTATTTTTTATTGTAGACTATGCCATGATTCATTATTAAGAATATTTAATACCATCAATGTAAAGAAAACTGAAAGTGTTTACGTGAACACACGTTTATGAGAAGACAATATACCTTGCAGATTTTTAACTACTTTCAAAATTTGAAACATCAGTTACTGGTATAGAACCGAACCCACCCAGATTCAACATCACAGACACTGAATACCAAGCCATTTCAAAACCGAATCAATATTTAAAAACATGATTACGTTAAATTATGTAGATTTTTCTCCAATTTTCAGGCTTTCAGCCGCCATATTGGATCAGCCATTTTGGATTTCAGTGACACAACTCTAGGATTGTGATCAGAGACACTGAAAACTCCTTTCTAAGCAATTTCAACGCCAATGTAATTTTGAAAAAGGAGATACTGTGGAATTACGTAGGCTATTCAATAATTATTCATCCATTCAGCCGCCATATTGGATCCGCCATTTTGAATTTCAAAACGGGGCACATGACTTTCGAAAGTACTAGTAAAGACTAATTTTTTGAGCTATCGAACGTCTTTGTAGGTCGCTTCAAATTTTGGGCAGACAAGTGATCCGGTTGACGTGAAACGTCCCATATATATATATATATATATATATATATATATATATATATATGATATATATTTATATATATATTTCCTATATATATATTTATAATCATATATATATATATGTTCACAATTCGTTTATATTAATGTATATATAGTATACGTATTCAATATTCATTTATAAGAATTATACGATTAACTTTTTATATGAAAAAAATATATTGATATTTTCTTACAACTGATAAATGTATAATATATTTATCAGTTATAAAAAAATATATGATATAAAAAGCTGTAAAAGAAAACATTTAACGCTGCCGCATGTATCGAGATGGCGACAAGCAAGCAGCGTGGTCCATCCGTTGCCAGCTTAGGCTGCGTTCCAAAATTCACTGCCAATACTGAAAATCTATAGTTTACGTGACATACACTATAGATTTTCAATACTGGCAGTGCATTTTGGAACACAGCCTTAATATGAAGAAGACAAATAATTGTAGTCTGTCCTTTTCTATTATCCGAAGCTAGCCGAAGCGCCGAGTTCACACGTACATGGCTTTCGCTCGTGTGCGTCACCGTCTCCACCTTCCCCTCTCACGGTTGCCGGTTGCCAGCGTATACGTTCTGGCATCACTGCATATACCACCTTACCATGGCAGCATGAATGGAAATCTCCCCGCTCCTTGCCATTCAAAACAAGAAAAAACTTTACCTCACAGTGCTGTATGTCGATGATTATTTCAATTCGCGTTGTTTTGTTCGTACCATTTAACAACTATCACATGGATTTTTTTTTAATCAGTAGATTTCTTATTTTATTTATATTTAATATTTTGAAGAAAAAATGAAACGCAATGTTATGTTCTAGTAAATATAAATAAGAAAGAGAAAGCAATTAAATTGTTTTCAAAATGTATATATATATTATTTCTTATTTATATTTTTTTATATTTTTCTATTTTTTTTATGATGATTTGTTTGTCACCGGGGCTGATAAGGGTGAGGTCACAGTTGTCATGAACAAAATTGATTATGTGGAAAAAATGGAGGCTCTTTTGAGTGATCAATCCACTTATAAAAAATTGAACAAAGATCCGATCAGGAAATTAACGAATAAAATTAATACCATTGTCAAATCATGGCGCAGTAACGATTTAATTAATGAGTCCACATATAAAAAATTGAACTCCACTAATGGTAATCTGCCACGATGTTACGGTCTGCCAAAAATTCATAAGTCTGGTTTTCCACTACGAATCATTGTGTCAGCAATCGGTAGTCCGTTATATAACGTCGCGCAATACATTCACGATATACTAAAGATTTCGATTTTGGAATCTAAATCTCATATTAAGGATGGTTGGACGTTTGCCAGCATTTTGAAAGATAAATTTATCAGGGATGACGAAATAATGATTTCTCTCGATGTTACTGCATTGTTCACTAATATTCCCAAAGATTTAGTTTTAAGTGCGGTCACTAAACGTTGGAATCACATTGCCCCTAACACAAAATTCAACTTATCTCAGTTCTTATACGCGATTGAAACGGTTCTCGACTCCACTAGTTTTTCATTTAATGGACAATTCAACAAATTTTTAGTAGTCCTATGGGTTCCCCCCTGTCACCTATTTTGGCAGATATCGTGATGGATCACTTGGAAACGCATTGCTTAAGTCAACTAAGTTTTAATGTTCCGACGTATTATAGGTATGTTGATGACATTTTTACCATTGTTCCACGCTCAAAAGTTGAAACGATAAAATCGACCTTTAATAATTACCATCAACGCTTAGCATTTACGCATGAAACCGAGTCTGATTCTTGTATCAGTTTTCTTGACACGATTGTTATCCGTTCGGATGGTCGTCTTTTGACTGACTGGTATAGGAAACCCACCTGTTCCAATAAATATACTAATTTTTATTCTAAACATCCGTTCCAATATAAAATGAACACCATTTACAATCTTGTTGACCACGCCATTTTATTGGCAGACACTCGATTTCATTCCAAAAATATTGATATCGTTAAGCAGATTCTTTCCAACAATTGCTTTCCGAATCATATTATTAACCGCTATGTACAAAAAAGATTATATTTTTTAAAACACCGTGATAACGCGAATATGGACAATGAATCCGATAATGCAGTTACATCTTCGTACATTTCCTTGCCGTTTGTGGAGGGCTTGAGTAGTGAAATTGATCGCGTTTTTAAAAATGTAGGTCTTAATGTCGTCTACAATGTGCCTAAAAAATTCAACGCATTAATTAAACGTGGTAAAGATAGGCTGTCTACTAATAACATGACTGAAGTCGTTTACAAATTAGACTGCAAAAATTGTAACAAGTCATATATTGACCAAACAAAAGACATGTAAGCACTCGTGTAAAAGAACATCGCAACAACATAAAAGTGCACGAAAGTAATTTTTCTGTTATCAGTAAACATAAAGCTGAATTTATCATGACTTCGATTGGTCATTACCAGTTATTTTACATAATGAGAAACACGTGAGAAAGAGAGAAATCGCCGAAATGTTTTTTATAAAAAAGTTTGACAACACGATCAACTTACAAAAGGACACTGAAAATTTAAACAATATTTATGATAGACTAATAAAGGTTGTCTAGTTTCTCTGTGTATTGATGGAGACGGTTGACATGACAATCTTGACGAAGTGATTTCCTTATTTCTCACGATAGAATAGTTAACTAAATTATTGTATGTATTTAACTTGCCGCTCATTTTTTATTTCAAAATCAATGTAATTTATTTTTTTGTGTAATACTGGAAATAATTTTTTGTAGTTCACTCGAAAAGAACCAAAACCATGGTCGAAACGTCGTGATTCACTTTAATAAAATTTGTCAGTGTGGTCGTTTTTAATTACTTCTTGTATTTTATTTACTGGCGACCTTGAAGAGTTTAATGTTATATTTTTCTATTGTTTATAACAAACACAAACATTTTTTATTTGGTATATATTCTTTATAAATAATTATAATGTAAATACACACAACTAAGAGTATGATTTACAAACGTTACTAAAAATATATTATACAAAATGTTTGAAGATTCATGAAATAAATCTTGATGGTAGATTTTACCAATTTCTTTTTTCAAGAAACCTGAATTTTTTCCGACGCATTCCCAAAGAACTGCATTCTTGTTTAAATCGCCGTGAAGCAAACAACTAGCCACACGACAGCATTGGATGTGTATACTGTGCATAACATCTAATAAATTACATTAACCACGTTCTTTAAATAAAATTTCAAAAAAAAATAGAAAAACAAGAAAATAGAAAATAAAATCAAAGGTGATCCAACCAGAGATGTATAGCTCTTTAAGGATGTGTCGGACACTAACTATTTAAAAAAAATTGATTGTCTTGATGAATCCTAATACCTGTTGCAGTTTGTCCATGAATCCTGAAGAAACATTTTGTATATATGTATGTATGTTTATATATATACACACACACACACTAACATTTACAAATGTGTGTGTGTGTGTATGTGTGGGCGCGCGCGCCTGTATCGAAAATTGTTATATATATTCAGAAATCCTAATTATGTATTCTCCTATAATTATTCTCTTAATTTATATATTCATAAAAATATTGTTTAAAATAACTTATGTAGAATCTTATTGTAATTTAAAAAACTGAAAATATTATCAGCTAGAAAATGTATTTGATCTGAAAAAACTTATATCTTATGGAAAATAATGATGTAACATAGCACGTATGACTACATACATAATCCACACCCAAAGTACAAATCCCAGGAATTTAAAAAGACCATAACTATAAGAGAAAATATTGTAAATGTAGAATAATGTGGAAGTTATCCTAACGTATTTCAATTCACAATAATTTAAAAAGCGATTATGGAATTACGTACGTGGTAAACCATGCGATAAATATACCACATGATATACTGATAAGAAATGTGTAACTGGCTAAAGGTCGCAAACTTAATCGAGGTGGCAGTCGTTCCTCGCAACCACTAATAAATCCGTTAGGCGTACGTTTTGGTAACTTCACGACCGTAACAGGTGGCATGAGTAATTGTCGAGAAATATTACCGAAGAAGCTCTGTTTGTTGTATAGTGCAATGATCTCACGTCGATACTGTAAATCGTAAGTTCTTAGATCGACGAACAGTTTGTTTTGCATTAAAAGTAAATATATATATATATAATACCTTAAGATTAATGTAACAGCATAATTTGTAGAAATTTCTAACGAAAAAAGCACACTCATTAGTTCGAATTGGCTGTAGCTCTGGATCACCCATATACTCGATATATCGGCATGTTTGTCTATCTTCTTGCAATGATACAAAAGTACCTGGTCTACTCGAGTTAAGACTAGATTCCGTCTAAAAATTAATGGTATTTTTTTGTAATTAGCTGAAGTTTTGATAAATTCTATTTTACTAAAAATAACAAACAATCAAGAACATAATCAATTTTTCACACCTGGGATTGATGACAAAAAGACGTGGATAAAATACTATCGTGATATTCTTGATCCGCCACTATAGCAACTTGTGGAATGTCTTCAAGTTTGATCTGTAATAATTGCGAGTGTATATATTTATATTAATATAGATATATGATTTATGTTATGAGTATAAGAAAAATCTAATTACTTGAAATATATCTATCAGTTGCTGCTGAGTGGTAGCCAAGAGTAGGGGAACGCGTCGTCGTTCTTCTATACTGATATCATCTGAGGAATAATCTTCACAATTAATAAATTCCCATAAAGACAGCAAGAAGCGCTTTCCTCTCTTTCTATTTTCCAGAGCTTCAACCAAACTGGTCGCAGTTAAATGTGCTTGTTTAATAGTACTTAAAAACCATACAACCTATCAAAGAAAATTATAATAAAAAATTTAAAAAGTTAGTCCATAATTTAGTAATAATTTAGTATCAAATTAGTATCCAGTTTAATATTAAATTAATCTAATATTAGATTGATAATCAATAAATATCTAGAAATCTATGAAAAATAAAAAATACCTGTGAAGTGATAGCTGATGAAAACATAGGCACATACTGATAGGTCGGACCTTCCAGTTCGAGAATCTGTTGCCTAACAATCGATGTCCATTGATTGGTAGTTAATCGACTTTTACTTAAACCTACATCATCCATGCAACTTTCTATTTCACATATCATTTTTGCTAAATGTGCTTGCGAAAATACCTATGAAATATAAAATGGAAAAATATACCTTTAATATACCTTTTTAAGTAAATAAATAATATATTGCCAATAAAAATAATGCATGCCTTTGTAACTCTAAATAACATTGTTGCATTCTTGGGTGCTACCAAATCAATTCTCATAAATCTTGGGAGCAACTGTTGAAATATAGCTGTATATGCTAATAAATTACTGGCAACAAAAGAAATCCATCTTCCAGTATCATGAATTTTACCTCTTTCTTCTTCCTCTGTTTTACTGAAAATATTAAAGCATTAGCAAGAATATTTTGATAATATTTACAATATATATATGTACCCTTCTTTAGTGTATGTTATTTCCGGAATGTATCTCCATGGTTGAATAAAACTCAACCAAGCTTCCAATATTAATCTAAATGAACTATCTAATGGCCAATGATGTATTGCTTTTCGCAGAAATGTGTATATTTTTCCTTGAACTGAAGGAAGAATTATTCTGACAAATAAAAATAAAATAATAGTATTAAAGAAGTTATATAAGATAAAGGATTATTATAAAATATATATGTATACTATATATTATATGAATATATTATATACTATATAAATATATTACAATATTTTAATACCTCTTCAATTCATCCATAGCGCTCTTATCACCTGTTGCACTATTCGTAAATTCATGCAGAGTTTTTATAAACCCTCTTACAAGGCGTACATGTTCACCAGAATGTATGCTGTGCTAAAATTAGATGTTACTTTTAGAAGCTATAATCAAATTAAAATAATTAAATCAATTATAAATGATAAAAATTATTAATACTTTTATTGCGGAAATATTTTTTAATATATTTTTATATTTATTTTCACATACTATATGTATTTTTACATACTATATACTCTGTGTTTGTTAATTGTGCATAGAAAACTTACTCGTAGCGGTATTGTTAAGTAAGATGTATTTAATTGAGAAGTTAATTGGGTGTCCTCTGTATATTCCAACCAAAAATCGAGAAAAACTTGTACTATAGTCTCGCTTCTCCATACTAGCGATAAATATTGTTGTTGCGGTACTCCTGATCCAGGGGTTGTCGTTCCTGGTGATAATATAGACGTCTTGAGAAGTCTTGGAGTTTGCAATCTCTGACAGTCTCTGATTAAAATTTAAGATATATAAATGTAATATATTTACTGTTTTAATTTATATAACTTATTTCTTAAAATAAAATAAATAACTAACCCATACCTTCTGAATTCTGGTGACTGAGTTAATTTTCTTGGTGGAGTTTTTTTGATGTATGGTCCAATCATTGGTAGGACGATAGAATTATCCTTTGGAAGGAAATGATCAAAATAATTATGTGCTAATTGAACATAAACTGTTTCCCAATTTGCCCATATATTCTCTGATTGTTGCAGTTGCAACCAAGGATTGGTCAAATGATATGCAAAATGAAAAATATAATATTCAAAGGGATATATATATCTGCATTAAGGAAAAATCAACAGTAATGTAGCATAAAATATATTAAGTAAAGAATAAACAAAAAACACTGATATATAGGATTATGATATTATTAAAGATTTCTTTTATTTTAGCAAGCATTGTTATATCATAGACATTATTATAATTTTAATTAACAATTAGATACACAATATAATGATTATACACATTATAATAGTATTTGGTGAAGGATACTCATACATAAAGCTGACGGAACACGTGTTCCTTGGTCATCTCTAATTTTATCAAGATAAAATGGTGATATTACTGCTTCTTCCAACATGGAACGTATTTTTGACTAAAATATGAAACAATAAGGTTTATAGCAGTAATAAAGTTATCATATATATGTAAAATTTATAATATTAATATATATATATATATATATATTTATTTATTTATTTATTTATATATATGCTGCATAAATTTTTAGACATACTGGAAGATATGATATTGGAAAATTGTATTTCAGATAACAGTCTGGAAGTAATTTGTAACATAAAGAAAACATTGGTCCTTGTGGATTAAGAAAGTTGCATAATGCTTCATATTCTTGTGGATTTTTTTTAAGTGTAATACTGTGCAGATTCCATCCAATATTATCTACTATTCCAAATAAGGAATCTATTAGTAGAGGAAAAACAAGCTGCAGTTCAGTAGTACTTGACTCGTCTATCAATATAGCTAAATTTCTACATCGTTCTATTAGTGGCTCATTTAAATATCTTTGTGCTCTAATCTAAAAAAAATGATATAGTAATGTGTGTATTATTTATCATACTTGCAGTAATATATATTATTACTATTGTAATTGATAATTATGATTATGATGCATTGCAATTTTTTTCGACAAATAATTAATGAATCTATAATATCATGGTTGAAACATAAGTATATTTTTTAATTAATATAATTTGTGTTCTTTTTAAAGATTTTTATACTACTCTGATTTTTAAGGTTATATTTCATTATAAATCAACTGATATATAATTTACATACTGTAGCAACATCAGTAGAAGCAGCCATTGTTTAAAGACTTTTCGTCCTTGAATAAACTATAAAAACCATTTAAAAAATAATAAACAATAATTTATAATTTATAAAATAATTTATAATGCTGTTTACTCATATATCACATATATGCACACATTAAGGCCTTTGCACGTACAAAAATTTAAAGCCGGATCTACATTGGTAGTACCATAACGTCGCAAGTCGTAGGCAAATTGACCAATCATGGTTGATTATTTTTGAAATAATCGACTGTCGTTGGTCAATTTGCTTACGATTTACGACTTGCGACGTTATGATATGATCAATGTAGATCCGGCTTTAGGGCTTCCACACAAGGTGTTCCGTATCGCATTAAGGCCATTCTACAATGGCCGTAGCATAAGATTGTAAGGCATAAGGGCCTATCCATAGACATATATAATAGACTGCGCCATCCCGTGAGAGGAGCTGACCACCACACTGAAGGACAGAGACATTGCACGAGTAATGCTCTCTCTCTCGTTCTCTGTTAAGAGTGGGGAGAAAACGAGTGAAGGAGAAAGGCAACGTCGTAACAGAACGCGGATGATGACAGTTCAAGTCTCGTCGACCAAAAAAATTTTTTTTTAATGTAAAATTGTTTATTATAATTAAACTTACCGATAAAAATACATTGTTTATAAAGTAATACATTTACATTTTATATCTTTAATATAATAGAACATAAAATATATTTATATATTATATATAATATAGAGTATATAATATAGAGGTCTATATAAATATAATTGAACTGATAATAAAGGTAATTTTAAAGAAATACTTTTTTTAACAAGAACGATACATTTTATTTAAATAAAATTAATAAATTAAAATAAAAACATATACATCTATATATTTTTTGTCATCTTTGTCTTTATTGATTTTTAAATAAAACCATTCGATTATGGAAAGTTCTAACGCGTTGCACTAAATCTTGTGAAGATTTAGCTTCGTGATGAAGACGGATTTTAAAATATTTATTCAAAATTTGATTAATTAAATTTAGTTTATGATTATCGAAAATCGTTTCTTCAAGAAACATATCCATTTTTGAAAAAATATTGAAAGGAAGCAAAAGTTTTTTGGCATGTATCATTAATTTTCCAAGCACATTTTTTGTACAGAATACATTTGGTGTACTTCTTAACACTTTTTCCGCAGTTTTACAAATAATAATTACGTCATCGCTTGGTAATATTAACCCTTTTATTTTAGACAGAGAATTAGCAGTTTCCTTATTTTTTGTTACTCTATTTTTCAAAGTTATCAGCTTTGAAGAAGTAGAGTCATTCTCTAATTGATCAAGACATAACTCACATTTAATTGATTTTTTGATCCTTTTCACAATGAAACCAGCAATGTATGTTACGATTTCATGGCTGTATTCACTCCATGACCACCCATAACTGCCCATGTAATCGTGTTCAAATTCAACAATACTGACAAGTTCATCGTTAAAGATTCGATAACAAGCTATTCTTTTTTAAGTGATTCAATAATGATTTGAAATTTTCTATTTTCTCGTTTCGACGTTTTATTTTTTTATTAAAAACCCTGCATCGAGATTTACATGTTTTAACATGCTCATGAACAATTCTCCAACTGGTTTCACTTGTAAAGTCTTGTTTTCGTAGATCTCCGATATACCGAGGATTGTATATACGTTTAGCATTCTTCATTGGTTCATTTGATTTCCTGATGGAGAAAAACATAGCAATATAAATTTAAAGTACTTTGTACAAGACATAGGTCAGTAGTCTCAAATCACTTTTATTGATAAAAGTGATTTGAGAATACTCGTCATACTGCAAATAATAGCATCAATATTGGTAATCAAACCTTTTCAATCCAGTTTTCTGCTTCATATTATTATTACATTCTGAATCAATAGGCATATTCGGTTCATTGCAATTATCATTCACAATTTCTGAATGAAATTTATGTTCGGTGATTGCATTATTTGTATTTCCATTGTCAATATCATGTATATTACTTAAACTTAATTGCTCAATGTTGTCTTTGCTATAAATTCAAATTTTATTAATTGACATGTGCATTATTTTAAGGATACATTATTTTGATAATTATAACAATTTTAAAATCTTACATTTCAACAGATACAGTCACTTTAACATTTTCAATCTCAGCGGCTTTAACAGAAGAATATGAAAAATCTTGTAAATTAATATTTGTGACATCTGCCAAGGTTGTATGTGAATTATCCCTTGAAAATATTATTATTATTATTATTTTACATTAAAAAGGAGTTAATAATATAATAAAAATAAACTTTACTTTTTAGCTTGTAATTGACGATGTGAATGTAACAAAACTGATGTTTCATCATTAGTTTTTGCTAACAAAAGCGTTGTTTGATTTGAGCTAGTTATTACTTCTGTGTCATTATTCAATATATTTTTGCTGGAATATTACATATTTTAATAATTAAAAAGGCACAATCATAAACAGGAAATATTTATAATTATAATTTTAAATTAAAGTATACCAATTAGTTAACAATAAAGTTGGAACAGCTTCAGGTATTAAAAATCTTTTCACAATATTTCCAACAACTCTATACTGGAAATCTTTTGCTTCAAAATGTCTGCTACAAACTCCACTATACTTATTAACATTTCTGCCGATATTTAAAAACCATTTTACTTGCAAGTCTTTGCTTTTAGGGATACTAAAAACATATCAACTTAAATTTTACAACTTATTAAATAAAACTTAGTATTATACAAAAGTGATAAAAAACTCTCATAACATTCCAAAAATGAAGATAATTTTGAATTCAATGTGATTTAACTTATAACAATGTATAATATTATTTTACAAAATATTTATTAATGCCAAATGTGTAGGAACTTTCATAACCTCGAATCGCAAATGCGTAAGTATACATATTATAGATTTCATATTACTTACGTATGAATAGAAACATCCTCAATAGCTCCATATTCCACCTTACATATGCAACAAAATCTCACCATTTTTAAATGTTTAAAATATACTAGTACAAGCTAACTGCAAATCTCACTCATAGCTGATAGCTATTCTTCTCTTCTCTTCTCCTTTCTTCCTTATTTCCCCCACCAACGTGCACATTAGACGGAGACACTCTTACTCGCACTATTGCTCTCTCGCTTCAGTGTGGTGGTCAGCTCCTCTCACGGGATGGCGCAGTCTATTATATATGTCTATGGGCCTATCCAGACAAACTTAAGGCCGCAGCACACACTTTTGCATAAGCGCATAACCATAAGCATAAGAAAATTGATTGGTTCATTTTCTTATGCATATACTTGGGGACCAATCAATTTCCTTATGCTTATGGTTATGTGCTTATGCAAGAGTGTGTGCTGCGGCCTTTACATAGGTGCATATGCATAACATAAGACTAGAGAACCTCTAGGAGAGAGAATGGACAACTGATCATGTGACATGTGATCAAGCTTTTTCATGATTGGCTGGCAGAAAATGTATCAATTTTAGCTATTGCGACGCCAATGCAAAATATGATGACACACAAATAGGTTAATATATGTGTGTCATGTGTGTCCTATTTGTGTGTCATCATATTTTGCATTGGCGTCGCAATAGCTAAAATTGATACATTTTCTGCCAGCCAATCATGAAAAAGCTTGATCAGTTGTCCATTCTCTCTCCTAGAGGTTCTCTACATAAGACCATATGGACCAATGAGCTTCGAGTATTATGTTATGTAAGTCAATATAGCGATTTAATGCTCGATGCTCATTGGTCCATATGGTCTTATATTATGCATATGCACCTATGCAAGTTTGCTGGATAGGCCTTAAGACTCAAAAAATTGACCAATCACAGTCGGGAGCGTCTCGTTTGATCACATTGCGATTGACCACAGCCATAGACATAGTAAGTATAGACCGAGCATCCATTGTATAAGCGTTAAGCATACGAAAAGAAAGACAAAAGATGCAAGATGAGTTTCTTTCTCTTTTTAATGCCGAAGAAGTGGGGAGCATTTCTCCTCATCTCTTCGCCCCTCCATGACGAACCGGCGCGAGAAGCCAATTATATCGACCTGTGCCTAAGGTAACCAGCAACGATTAACCAATCAGAGAGTCCTATTTTGAATTGGCCAATTGGCGACGTGGTCAATCGAGTGCCACCCATCACAGTCGAGTGTTCTCTTAATACTTGACTGTAATTGGTCAATTGCTTGAGTCTTACGCCTTACAACCTTATACTACGGCCATTGTAGAATGACCTTTACGTTACATTAAGTATAGATCGTAAAGTTAACTCCGTACGTAAACTTAAACTTCAGTGAACGCACAGAAAAAATCGTAACGTAAAGACATATCTTTTTCTGTGCGTTCACTGAAGTTTAAGTTTACGTACGGAGTTAACTTTACGATCTATACTTAACGTAACGTAATGCGATACGGAACACCTTGTGCGGAGACCCTTAGGGCCTATCCAGACAAACTTGCATAGGTGCATATGCATAACATAAGATCATATGGACCAATGAGCATCGAGTATTATGTTATGTAAGTCAATATAGCGATTTAATACTCGATGCTCATTGGTCCATATGGTCTTATGTTATGCATATGCATCTATGCAAGTTTGTCTGGATAGGCCCTTAGTTGTAACCATAAGGTCATAAGAAACCTGACAAATCACAATCGAGTATTCTTTCCGCGATAAAAGAATAATCAACTGTGATTGGTCAATTTTCTTACGACCTTACGCTTACGACTAAAGGTTTGTTCGCGTCGCATGCCCCAACATCCAACTCCTACTCACTCCAATACGTTCGCGTCACCGGAACTAATATGGCGAATAGGTGTTCGCATCGCGATAGAACATACTCTAAGGAGCAATTAGGAGCATGCTCCATGTGCCTCCATAGACATATATAAGATTTGTTCGCGTCGCATGCTCCAATGTACTCCAGAGAGTACTTGGATCACAGGTAAGATGGTGGTTAGAGCAGATGAGTTCATGTGCACCAACATTTGGTGACACGAACGGACTTGAGGCATTTCGCTTTTTTTTTGCTTCCAACCAATCGCGCATTACAGTATTATGACAACATGGATCTTAATGCTTTT